TTGAAAACCACTATCATGTCCCCCCTTAATCTTCTTTTTTCCAAACTAAACAAGCCCAGTTCATGAAGCCTGGCTTCATAGGTCATGCTCTCTAGACCTTTAATCATTCTTGTCACTCTTCTCTGTACCCTTTCCAATTTCTCCACATCTTTCTTGAAATGTGGCGCCCAGAACTGGACACAGTACTCCAGCTGAGGCCTAACTAGTGCAGAATAGAGCGGCAGAATGACTTCACGAGTTTTGCTTACAACACACCTGTTAATACAACCTAGAATCATATTTGCTTTTTTGGCAACAGCATCACACTGTTGACTCATATTCAACTTGTGGTCCACTATGACCCCTAGATCCCTTTCCGCCATGCTCCTTCCTAGACAGTCGCTTCCCATCTTGTATGTATGGAACTGATTGTTCCTTCCTAAGTGGAGCACTCTGCATTTCTCCTTATTAAACCTCATCCTGTTTACCTCCGACCATTTCTCTAACTTGCTAAGGTCATTTTGAATTATGTCCCTATCCTCCAAAGAAGTTGCAACCCCACCCAGTTTGGTATCATCTGCAAACTTAATAAGAGTACTCTCTATCCCAATATCTACATCATTGATGAAGATATTGAACAGTACGGGTCCCAAAACAGACCCTTGAGGAACTCCACTTGTTATCCCTTTCCAGCGCATGATGTCCCTTTGCAGAACCCATGTTGACTTTTCCCCAACAAATTATGTTCATCTATGTGTCTGACAATTTTATTCTTTACTGTAGTTTCAACTAATTTGCCCAGTATTGGCGTTAGATTTAGCTGTCTGTAATTGCCAGGATCACCTGTAGAGCCCTTTTAAAATATTGGCATCCCATTAGCTATCTTCCAGTCATTAAGTACAGAAGCTGATTTAAAGGACAGGTTACAAACCACAGTTAATAGTTCTGCAATTTCACTGATAATGCCTGATTGTTGCAGGAAGTAGTGTCGATGATTTAATGGATTGCATTCTTTCCTCTGAGTTAATACTGAACAAATGCACTGTTGGCGGGGCTGTTTTAGATTGTGTAAACCCAAAGTCCTGATGAGTGTAGTTGTTATACATCTTGTAGCATTTCTCAAAGAATTAACTCTGCCGTCTTAGCCAAATTGCAGCTCAGGTAATTTCATTCTTTCTACCTATCATTCTTCCTGCTGTTCCAAGTAGCTGTAGTATATTGAGTTTCCTAGCCTACATTGTTGTTCTATGTTGAACTGTTGATACTGATGTTACATTACACCCAAGAGCTGGCTGTATTTCAGTAGCGGGTGTATGATTTCTCTCTGTAGCATAGTTTGTATATCAATTTAATATTTGTAAAACATTTAGGATTCTTTAGGGGTAAACCACTGTATAAACATGCCCTTAACACATCTACTTGCAGTATTCTCAGTAGACTTTTCCTGTAGGAATTAGGAATTTCAGTAAGCATGCTAAGTTTCAAAAATGATGCTGCCTTTGTGGGGTGGGCTTTTTTTTTTGTTTGGGGTTTTTTTGGTCCAACAGAACAAATTTAAAATGTAAAATTCATTGGTAATAGGAGAGATTCACTTACTTCATTCTCCCTTTGAAAAAATAACGGTATAATTCAGTGTCGGCGAGCATTCCAAAAGTCAGCATTTTTCAAAGATTAGCATTACTAGACCATTTCCTCACAGCTGATTTCAAGTGTGGGGGAAGGAGAACATAAAATGATTTTTCTTAGCTACAGCCTTCCCCCCCACTCCCATACACCTTCTTTTGATCATAAAAAACAATTTATGTGCAGCCTGACCAACTGTGTAGAGCCCCCTGTAGGTGATTCTTGCAAAATTTGAGACTAGCTTTAATGTATATTAGGTTTGTTTACTGGTCATGTTACCACAGCCTTGCACTTAAAGACAACAGCGATCTCGAAGACAGGACCCATCGTCACTTGGAGAGACAATGCCACCCTGAAATGAAGAAATAGTTCTTGCCAATTCTAAAGCTATGGGCTGACTGGGCTACCGCCCGGGGTGCCACATTGTAGGGGGCGCTGCGTGGGGCTGCCGGACCAGGCGGGGGTGGGGCTGCGCATGCGCGGGGGCCCGGGGTGCACGAATGGCTCAGGCTGGCCCTGGCTAGACCAGAAGTGCCTAAACTAGGGATGGGCAACCAGAAATGGTGGGTGGAAAATGAGTGGCCCTCCTTCATCTCAGTGGGCCACAGCAGCCCCTGGCCAACTGGGGCTCTACCTGCATCCCACAGCCTCCCTGTCTTCCCCCACATGCGACTCTTGCACACTGGGGCATTGGAGCCCAACCCTTCCTACTCCTCCCTCCCAGCACTTCCAGAGCATCACAAATCACCTGAGTCATGCTCCATCCCCACTTCTCTCCCTTCCTTCCAGATCTTGAGCAGCCGTGAACAGCTGATTTGGAACATTCCAGCTCTGGGAGGGAGGGGTCAGAGTGGGGCCAGCAATGTGAATCAGCAGATTTGTGGTGCTCAGAAAGTCCTGGGAGGGAGGGGGAGAAGTAAGAAGTGTGGGGCTCTGGTGCCTCAGTGTGCAAGAGGCGGGTGGGAGAAGGGAGCGGACAGGAGATCTGTGGGCTGCAGGTAGAGCCCCAGTGGGCTGTGGCCAGGGAAAAGCACATGTGCTCTGCCTAAGTAGAAGATCTCTCTTGAACAAACCCTCTGTATCTTCATTTAGATACAGTGTCTTCAATTAAATGTAATTACTTCCCTCTTTAATCAGTGGCTGCTTCTATTAAATGTATCTTCTGTCCCCTGTGGCTTGCAGGATAGAGGTGTGACTACTGCAAGAGGCCAAACACTAATCAAAGGCAGCTTCTAACGAAGATACAAATGAATTGCATCTAGGTCAGATGAAAGCATCTTCCAGGAGTCCATGCCTTTCAAACTGGGCTCATAATAAACATGTTACATTTCTAAATTACTCTAAGCAGCTGCATCATCTAGCAGCCCACAGGAATATGTTTATTGTATTTGAAAGGTTTCTACGAGGCTGCCATGGGAGCTTTGATGTCCATGTTGATCTCACATTATCTCAGTGAGCTACATTCATCCCTACTGTAGCTGCATTTAAACTAGTGCAACGCGTCTTCCATCTTAAAATGGTTTCATTTTATGTGACGCTTGAAAAGACTATGTGCTTGCATATACAGACAGATCTTGGAAGTAGATATTTTAAAATATTTAATTACAGACACATAGGATTATGATTTATTATTATGGCCACTGGTGGGCTGAGATCTCTGACTATATCCTCCTGTCTCATCTTGTGCTATGATCGCAAGGTCTTTGGGAGCAGGGCCTGCCCTCTAGTTCTGTGTTTGTTCGGCACCCTGTCCACGGGGGTCCTGATCCGTGACTACTCACATACAAATCCATTATGATAATAAGAAGAAACTGAGTTTTACTTGGTGAAGAAGTGCAGTCAGCTGCACTCCCAACATCTGTTTTAAACTGGCCAAGCCATTGGATAGCACACACACACACACAGACTCTAGTACAAGGGAGCTTTCGGGTGTGTCTACACAACAAAGTGATTTCAGAATAACGGTTGTTATTCTGAAATAACTATGCGAGCGTCTACATAGCAATTGCATTATTTCGAAATAATTTTGAAATAAGGGACAGCTTATTCTGACTTCTGTAAGACTCATTCTACGAAGAATGCCTACTCCTAAATAGCTATTTCAAAATAAGGTGTGTTTAGATGCTTCACTGATGCTATTTTGAAATAGCCCCTCACCAGGGCCATTCTAAGTTATTCCTCCTGGGGCTCTACATTGAGATAGCACGTCTACATTAGGGAAGCCTGCCTCGGAGGCTTCCCTACAGTGTATTTTGAGGCTTTCCTACAGTGTAGACGTGCTATTTTGAAATAAGCTATTTCGGAATAACTATTCCAGAATAGCTTATTCCGAAATAACTGTACAGTGTAGACGTAGCCTTCCTGTCCTGATGTGCAGTCACTCATTCCAAGAAAGAAAGAAACCCAAACAAGCGGAAATGGACTGAGGCATTGTAACAAAAACCTGTGGGCTCTGATAAATGTCACCCGCTGGAGTGTTTCGTTTAGCAGCCTAGTTTGTAACAGTTTCCTTGACTTGCTCAGTACTGCACCAGTTGGGGGCCCATCTTGCATAAGCAAGTGCAGTCAATTTCATCCAGCCAATCCTTGATCCCTGTTCTGCCGCTCTTTGCCAAATCTGCTTTGGATCTGCCCATTTTGTGCCTGGCTATGACTCTCTTTCTATGACTCAGCTTGCTCCTTTTTCTTGCTACTGATTCACAACAGTTCTCGTGACTTCACTGATGACATCCTTGATTCTTGCTTAGCTTAGATCACCTTCATTTGCCTGCCATGTTCTCCTGTGACTCCTCACTACAAGTCTATCCCCATTCTAGTTCTCATGCCTCTTCTGTTTAGCTCTCTTTACAGAAGTGCTGTTCTCTCCTAAAGCATCAAATAAAGGCCAGTAAATCAGATCATTGTAGAATTTCATTCCAAACCAATTCCTGAACTTGAGCTTGTGGTATGAGCAATACTTAATTTTTGTCTGGACTTGCCACAGCTGAGCCCCGGGACCTTGGGGTTTGCCACATCAGACATGAAAGTAAAAAACTGAGCCCTAATTGTTTGATCAGTGACACCTCTATCAATACAAATTAAGCACTAGGTATGATATTGTAACAAACTGCATTATAATATCTTAGTTTTAAAAAAAGCCCTCTTTGCTTTTGAATTATTTGACACCTGTGGACATTGCTCCTGTCTCTGTTACCCTTGTTATCCCATGCTTCCTCCCTTCCTGGTTTGTTTGTTTATTTTGGTACACACACTGGTTTTAAATTAGACCAGAATTTCTCCAGGGCATGGACTTTTCTGATCAGGACTATGCTGTTTCTGTATCTTCAAATCATGTTAGCCATGGTTTGATGTGCAAAATCCATTGTCTTCTCACCATGTTTTGGATTTGTCCCTCACAGATCATTTTCCGGAAAATCAGCAATTCAAGAAGGAAGAAGAAGAGCTTCTGCGCCAGAAGAACGAAGTGACCCTGAGCATCCCTGTGGACCACCCGGTGAGGAAGCTCTTTCAGAAGTTCAAGCAGCAGAAGGAGATGCGGAATCAAGGCACCACGCACATCGACCCCGAGAGGAACCAGCTTCAAGTAGAGAGCCGGCCCATGCAGAATGGGGCTGCCGTCACCGGCACAAGTGTGGTCACTGTGTCTCAGATCACGCCAACGAAGTGACCCTGAGCATCCCTGTGGACCACCCGGTGAGGAAGCTCTTTCAGAAGTTCAAGCAGCAGAAGGAGATGCGGAATCAAGGCACCACGCACATCGACCCCGAGAGGAACCAGCTTCAAGTAGAGAGCCGGCCCATGCAGAATGGGGCTGCCGTCACCGGCACAAGTGTGGTCACTGTGTCTCAGATCACGCCCATCCAAACATCCCTGGCTTACGTGAAAACCAGCGAGCCGCTCAAGCAGAACAACAGGGATGCAATGGAGCTGAAGCCAAATGGCAACACTGAAAAATGTCTCAAAGTGAACAGCCCCATCAGGATGAAAAACGGGAATGGGAAAGGATGGCTTCGGCTAAAGAACAATATGGGAGCCCAAGAGGAGAAAAAGGAAGACTGGAATAATGTCACAAAGGCTGAGTCAATGGGGTTGTTGTCCGATGACCCCAAGTGCAACGACTCGGAGAGCAGCGTAACTAAAAATCCATTGAGGAAAACAGACTCTTGTGACAGTGGAATAACAAAAAGTGACCTTCGTTTGGATAAAGCTGGTGAGACTCGCAGCCCCCTGGAACACAGCCCTATCCAAGCTGACGCAAAACACCCCTTTTACCCCATCCCTGAGCAGGCCTTACAAACCACGCTACAGGAAGTCAAACACGAACTCAAAGAGGATATCCAGTTGCTAAGCAGCAGGATGACTGCCCTGGAGAAACAGGTGGCAGAGATTTTAAAAATATTGTCTGAAAAGAACACATCCCAGACCTCTTCCCCCAAGACACATTTATCGCCCCAATTGCCCCCCCAAATACCTTGTCAAGATATTTTTAGTGTTTCAAGGCCTGCATCACCTGAATCAGAAAAAGATGAAATCCACTTTTAACATATACCTATGTATATATATGTATACAGTATTTATGCAATTGTGTATATATACCTGTATACATATATATGTGTGTGTATACAGTAAATATATATATATATATATATAAATATATATATATATATATTTTCACTTCCCTCCAATATGACTTGAACACAACAAGGATTTTGATATGTAAATATTGCATGTCCAGCTGGATTCTGGCCTGCCAAAGAAAACAATTATTAACATAGATATTGCTTGTATAATATGCAGTTGACTGCATGCACACTTTACATTTATTTATAATCTCTATTATGTAATAAAAGGATTACTTTTGTTTAACCAAGGCAATGTTACTATTTAAAGCATCAGGGTCCATCCTGCCAATATTGCCATGACAGGTTTGATCTCAGGCTGGGTAATTGAGCATTTCTTTCCTCATTGTCCTCTCTGCTGAGTTAAACAGTAGATTAACATGAGGCCAAGGGCACGCTCAGTCTTCTCTTAGTATCATTTCCTGGTATGGTTCCATTGGGGTATAATGTATACTTGGTGATCAATGTGTATTTCCCATGAAGGAAGTGAAGGATTCAGCTAAATTGAAAGGGACAGCAGGTGATGGTCTGAAATGTTGGAAATTATCATTCGGGGTGTTCTGCATGCAATGCATTTGATCTCTGCTCCCCTCCTCTCTCACCATGATACGTAAGACACAATAATAATGAATGATTATGTACAAAATAACAAAACATCCCACATCCACGCCCTGTATGCCTTTTTGGGTGTGGGAGGACAGAATTCATTCACATACTTCCGGCTGGGCTGTTAGAATAGCAAGAGGTGGGTTCTTGTAGCAGTACCGGGTCTGGGTCTGTGTACACTGCAGTTAAACACCCATAGCTGGCTCATGCCAGCTGACTCAGGCTTGCAGGGTGCAGGCTATGGGGCAGTGCAGATGTCTAGGTTCAGGCTGCAGCCCAAGCTCTGAGACTCCTACCTCTCACGCCCTGAAAGCCGAGGCTCCAGTCAGTGCCTAAACAGGTACACTGCAATGCAACAGCCCCTTGGCCTGAGCCCCCCAAGAGCCAGAGTCAGCTGCAGGGATGCCCTTAAGATATATGGGGCCCTATGCAGTACTATTAAACTAGTGCCCCATCCCCAGCAACAGCCCGGGAGGAGGGGAATAATGATTTTTTATAGATGCAATTTTTTAATCTTCAGCGACACACCGATGAAATATTTTTCAAGCAAAATTTAAACCTGCATCCTGTCGACTGACATGGTAAATGTAGAAACTGACAGTATATACCTGGGGTTGGCAATTGCCTGTTAAACGGCTTCAATTGCCACTTGCCTGGCTCTTTCCCCGGGTCAGTGTGCTGACCAAGTGGTTCCTGCCATTTCCAGTGCCCAATGCAGCTGCATATTCGGTGTATGGCCCTGGTCAGCTGGCACACCCCAGCAGCAGGTGTCTAATTGCAGTGTTGACACAACCTCAGTGTCTTTATTAGGAACTCCGTTTTTTTAGGGCTCCCCTGAAATTGCTCCCGGCTGAGACATCACTCAGAAGGTCTCAAGTGAAGGGGAGGGAAATCCAGGCTCAACTCTTTCAGGAGGTTGTAGCTAGTAGTGTCCAAAGCCTGACATTAAATGGTTGCATTAGACCCCCACCCACCCACCCACTTATTTTTAAAAGTATGTTGGTAAGCTAAAATTGGCAGTAGGGAGGAAAAAATGATCAGACTGTATGTCCACTAAGGGGGACATTCACTTCGCCCTCATCAAGCCCAGGTAATAGGGCTGTGGGAGGAAGGCATGGGAAAGTGAGAGAGATGAAATCCAGCCCCATCTGGAAACTGGGTGCTTGCTCCAAATGCTATTGAACTTACCCTTGACTATGTTGGTAAGCTAAAATTGGCAGTAGGGAGGAAAAAATGATCAGACTGTATGTCCACTAAGGGGGACATTCACTTCGCCCTCATCAAGCCCAGGTAATAGGGCTGTGGGAGGAAGGCATGGGAAAGTGAGAGAGATGAAATCCAGCCCCATCTGGAAACTGGGTGCTTGCTCCAAATGCTATTGAACTTACCCTTGACTACAGAGGACTTTGGATAGGCTGAAGGTGCAGGACTGCAGCCCCTGCACAGCCAGTCACATAGTGAATGGATGTCATTAGATCCTGCAAGCCTTACCAGAGCCCCTCTGGGCCCTCAGTGCTGGCTGATGGGCGACACACCGAGAGCCCACATGCAGTGCGTGCGATTGCCTGGCTTGCAGCAGGATGCTCTTGCATTGCTAGTGTGTGATCTTGGTTGTGAAGGCTGCTTGAACCAGCACTGTGCGCCATGGGTGAACTTGGCCCCGGGTTTTGAAAAGATGCATCTCCCTTACTAGCGAGACTTTGAAATATGTTTGGGCCTGATCCCCTGCTGTCTGAAATTGGCACAGCTCCGCTGACTTTAATAGCGCCAAACAAATTTACACCAGCTGCAGATCTGGGCAAATGCTGCTTCTGCAGCTGTTTTTTTCAACAAAATGCCCGTAGGGGGGCTAGAACATGCAGCATTGCTGACCTAGACTAGCACAATGGACCATAATGACTCAAACTCAAACATAATGCGGCCTCTTGTGTCAAAGTCCCACTTTCTAAAAAGTGCCTATAAGCAAATACAAATTTGCACAAGAAGCTTTTATAATCAGTCAGGTAAATTACATCAATTTTCATAATTAGTGTGCATCATTACCAATTAGAAAATCAGCCATTGCTGTTTATCGGGTTAAAAAAAAACAGTTCTCCTGAGCAACTGAATCATTTACAGCAGTGGAAGTTGTAAACTTTCATCCCCAGGGCGAACATGCCTCTTAGTATCAAATTGAAATCCATGATTTCAACAAAGCCAAAGACGCCATTGCAGCTGATGTGTCAATTCTCATAGGCGTTTAGGACACAATTTTCTTTCTTTGCTTTTTTCCCCCTCAAGCCTTCTCCTTCAGGAAAGCGTGAGGATGGGGGATAGAGAGATTCCACTTCAACAACAATTAGGGACAGTTATTTCCAAAGCCTGGTGCCTAAGCAGCCCACTATCTTTGCTGAATTACACGCTTCTTTCTGTGGCTGCATTTTTGCTCCTGCTGTTCCACTGCAGGTACGAATCAGGTGGCTGGAGATACAGGGGGCAGCCCCAGTTCATTTTGTGGGTACATGTTGCACTTGGAGAGAGGCCAGATTTAGGGATTAAATCCCTCATGGGCCCATAGAAGTATGGGGACTACATATACAGCTGGAGCATGTCTTTTTGGGGTACATCTTAAGTGCCAAGCTCTAAAGATTTAACCCCAAGTGTGTGGCTTCAATCCCTGACTAAAATTGATACACAGCAATTAATTTTCTTGGATCCCACTCCAGTGTGCCTAGTTGTTGCACATGTTACAGGAATGGGGTTGGTAAAAGCAATCGTGCTGTGCATTATAGTCTCCTCATCTCCCCTCTCCTGCACTGCAGTGCATCCAATCTGGTTTGGCTGCACAAGCCTGAGTAGCAATTCTGGAAGACCGGGCTACATTTTGGCAGTCTCCTGCCCATTCTGGTGCACAACTCGGCTGTGGCTCCCTGCACTTGAGCACAGAGGCTGAGGCTGGGAGTGGAATACACCAGGTGAAATGTGACTCTGCCAATCGCCAGCCACTTCCACAATGGAGCCAAGGCCCATTGGGTGGAGAGGATATTTACTTGGAAAGGAGGATTCTAATCCCTCCATCCTTCCAGTGAACTGCCCAGTTACTCAGACTGTACAGGGGACAGGACTTTGACATACTTGCACATAACTCTCGTTTTATATTAACAGGAAGTTATATGAATAAAACAGGAGGGGGATAGATATGCCTCTGTTATTCTGCAGGAGATATCAGAATGTGTTAGTTAGCCTTAACTGTGAATTTCTTTGTCTTTAAGGGGATTTAGTCCTTTCTCTGTAACTAACATTAACCAGAACTGCATGGCATGTAAGAGGTTGGTTTTTTTTGTCTACACTCTTAAATTAGGTGTAACTTCATGCGGCTTCACAATGAGAGAACATGTAACAAAGCTAATCTGACCCTGAAAAAATTTGGAGACAACTGTATCGATTACAGTTCCAGTAAAAGTATACTGGTTAAAAAGGCATACTGGCTAAAAGCTATAAATACTATAAACTAGTAAGAACATACAACATTTTTTTCCAGTTCCAGTGTCAATTCTTGTGCCTATGCTGCTCTTAATCTATGATATTCATGGGTGCTGGAACTAGCAGCACAGGGGCTGTGCCCACATCCCTTGGCTTGAAGTAGTTTCCATCATATACACGATTTACAGTTTGATTCAGTGGCTCTTAGCACCCCCACTACACAAATTGTTCCAGCACGTCTGATGATAAACCTATATCACTGCAAAGATCCACTGAATCAGATCATATCCTGTATGAGGCAATACATCAAAGCAATATGGAGCCACATTTTCAACAGGCGCGCATTGGCTTTTTCTATAAAACAGTAACTGGGGCATGCAAATTGGATACCCCAGGCCTCGTTTGCAGCACAAAGGTGTGAATGCAGGCACATTGTACAGGTGCAGCTTCTGTGCTTACCTTTTGGAATATTTGGCTCATACATTTTTTGAAGCACTTGACTATACATTAAAATATCAATGCATTACATGTTGTTTCATGAAGTAGCGACAGGATCATTTTTCTCATTTTCTAGTCCCCTTGTTCCTTTGTTTGCATGATGTGGCTGATGGTGATATGGAATGGTGTCTTCTCTTTTCATTAAGGAAGCATGAGTATGGTGAACACTGTAAATATCACTCTGATTTTCCAAGCAGAGCAATACAGCGATCTAATGATCCAAATCAAACTAGATTTAAACGTTAAACCTACTTCAATAAGTGCTATAATTAAACAACACATTCTGGGATGCCTGAATCACCACTCGAGTAGCTATATATACCATTTAGGAAGCATTCAGTTGCATGCATTAAGATTCTTTTTGAGTTCTGTGTGAAAGTTCAAATGCTCCATTACATAATAGTTATAGTGATAATTCGTAGCACTTATGGGGCTTTACCTGTTCAAAGCGCTTTACAAATACGTAAGTGGATTTTATTTTCCTGACAAGACACTAATGAGGGAAAAAAATCAAATGCTTTCCAACGTGAATGAAACACCTTTAATATTTTTTTGCATAATATGATTTGAGCAAAACTGTAGAATTTCACCAAGTTAAAAACTTTGAGTCATTAACTCGTTGAAGACTGAGTAGCTAAATATTGCCTGACTGTTCTAATTTCTAATTTGCACGAGTTTTCATTGTTACAGAAGACTTGGGATTAGGATCTAACTGATTTACTTGTGTGGCAAAAATGAGTTTTACTGATTTTTCTTCCTATTAGCGAAGCAAAGCCAATACAACTATAAGAGTTTGATCCTATTCTCATTTAAGTCAATGGCAACCCTTCCACAGGCATCAATGAGAAAGGGTGAGTTCCTGAATGAGAGTGTTGGAGCCAAACTCCAGTTGTAGATCCAAATTTGTCCCCCAGTCCCAACTTTGTTGAAAGCAACAGGGTCTAATTGAATTAAACGTCTTTACTACTGGAGAAAATGCACGAGGCTGAAAGAATCCAGCTTAATTTTCAGAACCCAAGTTGAGATTGTAGAGTTGGCAGGTAGAAAAATAACATCAAATGCTTTGTATACTGAGCACAATTGAACTTGAAATCATCAAGATACCATAAATATGGTGCCCCACAATTAAAGCTGGTTGAAAAACCAATTTTCCATCCCATGAAAAATGTTGAACAAAGGAATCGGGATGAAAAGACATCGCATTGCCATTTTTCGCAAATTTGGGGTTAATTCAATTGTTTTGTTTGGATAAAGTCATTTTGAAATGAAAAATTGAAATGTTCCATTCCAAAAGTGCTAAAAAGGGGGTCTTTCAACCTTTTAAAAATGATTTGTCCAATTTTTTCCCTAAATGAAATGTTGTCAAAATAGAATTTCGCACACACAAAAATTGCTTTTGTTGAAACAGCATTTTCTACAGGAAAGCTATTTAAGACCAAAAAATTGACCAGTAATGCCCACCATGCCATCTTACAGTTGGTTTTCAGTGCAGAACTGCATCTTGAATGAATAAATACTTCACTATAAAGCCTTCAGACCGATTTATAGCGCTTCATAATCCTGCTGCCAGGATACTTTTAATAGCGTCTTTGAGAAATGGGGTATGGGACTCCTCATATAGAGACCCAAATCTGAAAGATAATGAGATGCCCATCTCCCATTCACACTGTGAGCAGAATGCTCTGTACCTTTGAGGATAGGAAAGTGGTAGCTTGTATTTTTCTTGTCTTCTTTGAAACTACCCCAAAATTCTCACTTTCTGGGAGTTCAGGGAAGGGAATAGACTTTTGTCTACATAATTCTGACTGAAAGTAGGGATGTTAGGGTGTAGTCATTTACATGATTAACCGATGAGCCTGGGCTACAGCTGTATCAGAAGCAGCAAGAGGGGAGAGGGAAGGTGGGAGCTGGTTCTTCTAGGGAAACAGCTCTTGCGGAGCCACCTGCTCCCACCGCTACTGCCTCCTATAGAGGCAGCTACACAAGGGGATAGACAGGAGCTAGTGTTTGAGAGAGCTGGCTTAAAAGCCAGCTCCCCATGAGCACCGGCTCTCAGGGAGCCACCTGCCCTCTGTGCTGCTGCCTCTTATAGGGAGACAGCAGCGCAGGGCGGGAGGCAGGCAGGAGATGGTACACGTGGGAAGCTGGCTTTCAAGCCAACTCCCTGCACAGCATCTGCCTTCCTCCCACCCCGTCCCC